AGCTACTGTCCACAACACCTACTTGGCCTTGGGCAATGGAAAGGTGGTCACAGGGTTGGTGCCCTGTGCTTACCAGGTATGTCTGGGAAGCCTCCAGGCCTGCCTGCCCCCAAACTTTGATACAGGGCCATGCCTTGGCACAGGATGTCTGTCCTCTCTTGTTTATTTACTCACTTCATCCCTGGTTGGCTTCACATTCTGAAAGGTAATGCTTCAAAAACAGTGGTTTTTTTTTCTTTTTCTTTTTGGAAGGAAAACTCTGTGTGTGTGTGTGTGCACGCGCGCGTACGCACGCATGCGCACGTACACACACATGTGCACAGGGCAAATAATAAAGCTTATTTTTTGAACAGAGTGTTGCCCTTTCACCCAGGCTGGAGTGCAGTGGCGTGATCTTGGCTCACTGCAACCTCTGCCTCCTAGGTTCAAGCAATTCTCCTGCCTCAGCCTTCTGAGTAGTTGGTACTACAAGCACATGCCCCTACACCCAGCTAATTTTTGTATTTTTAGTAGAGACAGGGTTTCTCCATGTTGGCCAGGCTGGTCTCGAACTCCTGACCTCAAGCAATCCACCGCCCCCTCCCAACCTTGGCCTCCCAAAGTGTTGGGATTACAGGTGTGAGCCACTGCGCCCAGTCAAATAAAGCTTATTTATCTTTGTTCCCTCCCCAGTCCTACGGCAGGGCCCCACATCCAGGAAATAGTTAATATTTACTAAATGCAATCAACATATAAATTACCTCGGGTGTCCAGAACACCTACAACCAAATGCTCATTTTATAAATGAGGAACCAGAGGCCTAGAGAATGGAAGCCCTACATCTGAGGTCTTAGAAGAGCGGGCACGTTGGCTGCTCATGAGAATCACCTGGGAACTTTTATGGCTCTGGAGGTTCACACTGCCCACCTGGCCAATGAAGTCAGGGTCCTGGAGGTGGGGCCTGGATGCAGGTGTTATAGTTCTGCAGGTGATTCTAATGCACCTGGTTTAAAAGTCCTGGCCGGTGAGGGAGGAGGCAGAGCCTAGGGTCATGCTGGAGAGAGGTGTGTGTGTGTCCTGCTCACTCCCCACATGCAGGGATGCTTGAGTGGTCATGACAAGGGGGCTTTCGGGGAGAGTATGCAGAGGGAGGCTTTTGGGGACATGCTATTGGTGGGAGAAGAGCTGGCCAGATTTGATGAATGTTTATCTGGGACTCTTCCTGGCTCTGCTAAGGGACTGGCATTTTGGCTGGAAGGCCCAGGACAGGATGAGGTGGCAGTCCCCCTCCCGCACCCTCCCAGAAGGTTCCTGAGTCCCCACAAGTTCCCACGGGTAGACGGCTATGGTGGAATGGTCTCCCCCACACACTGGCCACTCAGCCAGCACCGTGACTGCGCAGGACCAGCAGACCTGCTGCCTGCATTGACTAGGAGGAGTCTTACACCAGTTGCTTCAGAAGTAGACTTGAAACTACTTACCGTAAGTAATAAAACCATTAAGCTTATGTAGTGCTTACCAGACTATTAGGCAGGTGAGTTTCCATTTTCACTCTTAACAAATATACCCCAAAGTTGGTATTGTCTTGTTTTTTGGTGACTGACTTATTTCACTTAGTATAATATCTGCAGGTTCATCCCCATCACAAATAACAGTTCTCTGTTTTTAAGGGTTGAGTAATATTCCAGCGTGTGTGTGTGTGTGTGTGTGTGTGTCTACACACCACATTGTGTTTGTCCATTCATCCGCTGATGGGCATTTGTGTTGCTAACTCCTTTTGGCTCTTCTCTTGTGAATAATACTGTTATGAACATGGGAACAGATAAGATAGTAGCCAGTTTTCTTTAGATTTTTTAATGATTTTTACTTTCTGATATATGTGTGTATGTCTGTATGGCCTTACCTTCTCAGATGAAAGGTAGCATAACTCTCCACATTGTTTTCCACCTTTTCCAAGTAATATTTTGGAGATAATTCTCCCGTCAGTATCTGTAGATGGTCCTCATGCCTCTGAACTCAGTCGTATGAACTGTCCAGTCAGTTCCCCACCAGATGTTTAGGTTGTTTCCAGCATTCTTAGGAGAGGGCTGTGGAGTTTTGTTTGTTTTCGCCAGTGTATCGTTGGACTAGGTTCTTAGAAGTGGGATCGTGGGACAAGGGTAAATGCGTAATGATTACATTAGACCTCGGCAAGTTCTTCTTGGTTTAAGTGTAGAAGAGGGCATGGCGAAATCACCTGAGCAAGGCTTCTTGAGGGCACACATGTTGAGACCACTTTTCTAAGAGTTCAGATACTAATATTTTGGTGAATCACATCATCAAAAATAATTTTGTCAAAAAATCTATTTTCCAGAAGTAGATGGGCTTGCACTTCAATAATAATTATTATTATTTTTGAGACAGTGTCTTGCTGTGTTGCCCAGGCTGGAGTGCCATGGCGCAATCTTGGCTCACTGAAACCTCCACTTCCTGGATTCAAGCAATTCTCCTGCCTCAGCCTCCTGAGTAGCTTTGGATTACAGGCGCCCACCACCATGCCCAGTCAATTTTTGTATTTTTAGTAGAGATGAGATTTCACCATGTTGGCCAGGCTGGTCTAGAACTCCTGACCTCAGGTGATCGCCCACCTTGGCCTTCCACAGTGCTGAGATTACAAGGGTGGACCTTTGATTATTTAAAAAAAAAAATTTAAATTTGTAAACTGCTGTACCCAGCTTTCATTTAGAACCGGATGCTTTATGAATGACTTTAAGCAGTCACCATTAAGAATACATTGTGCAAAAAGAATGGCTGGGCTGAACACTGGGATAAGTGAAATATTAGATACCCTTATCTAGGCTTTCCAGAAGCTTATACTCCAACGATGATGATAAAACTGAAAAATAACTGTAACATAAGACAGCTTATAACCAGTCAAGTGAGAGCTACAGAGAAGTATCACCCATGGTAGGAGGACATTTCAAGCTAGATTGATCAGGATAAGCTTCAGAGAAAAAATGGGATTCAACTAGACTCGGGCTGGTTAAGGAAGCACGTTTCACAAATGAGAAATGTGTACAAAGTTGGGAAAGGGCTAGGAGACATGAGGAGGTTTGAGCAACCAGTTGTGCGGGTATGAGAAGTTTCACTCAGGAGAAAATGCCTTAGAACAAGGTTAAGGCTGGACTAGAGGACCCGGGGGAGGCAGAGGAGTCGGGACTGTCCAACAGTTGGTAGGAAGCACTGAATTACAAGAAGGGAAGCTCCACGATAAAACTGGTGTTGCAGTACAATCAAGGAATGAGTCCAGTGCACCATGACTGGCGTGGGGAGACTGTGGGAGCAGGAAACTGATGGGATGTTGCCAGACCTGCCCAGCTCTCATGCAATAGTTGTGTGCAGAACACAAAGAAGGACTGCCCTGGTGAGGGAGATATGGGTGGTGGTGACAGCTTGAGTGTCCAGGAAGGAGGAACATTGCAAGATTCTGAACCTGCAGCGTTGGGAGAATGTGAACTGCCTCTGCCAACAGGAATCGTTAGAGCTGTAGTATTTACACTTCAGAAACTTCCCATAAGGAAATGCCCTTGATACAAATCTGTGTGGAGGCAATGACTGAATCATTCTGATGGGCAAATAATTGATGAGATTGTCCAGACACTGCTATGGAGAACCCTCAGGTTCCCAAATATTCCCTGGTGTGGATGGACAAGGCTGCCCAGCCTCTTGATGCCTCTCATTGCACAGGAAATCACACTTGCTCCAGCCTCCCTCCACACTGGGAGGTTGGGGAGTTTGATAGTTGAGGTGGACATTTGTGGTCATTTGGCCATCCAGCATCAGTTCATCCTGTTCTTAATAACAAGTGTTGAATTTTTGTCTTAAAAAACTCATCCCTCCCCGATCCATGTAGTCCAGGTTACTCAACAGGCTCCACAAGTAACCCAGGGGTGTAACACATGTCATGTATCTGGGCAATTGACTGGTTCAGGAATGAGCACTGAAACCCCATAGAGGGTTGTTGTTGCGCCACTGGGGCAGCAGTCTCTCTTGTTCGCTCCCACTGGACTTGAACCTGAAAGGATGCAGGGCTGAAGTGGCTGCAGGCACCATGCCATCCCACATGGATCCTGCAAATCAAGCCAAGGACAGCACAAGCTGTCTCTTAGTCATTTACTTTAAAAGCATTTCAGTATGAAGAGTGTACTATATATGTGCGGAATAGTGTCTTATGTCCATCCCAGGACACACTAGCTGGAATTGCTAGAGGAATTAAGCCTTTATATAATTTATCAGTGAAACGAGTAATGCTGAAGGTAGATGGGTGGTGAGAAACAAAGCCCTCCGCCTCCTTTTGCTTAAACGGAGGGCAGGAGTTCCACAAGCCCAATGCTCCAGGCTATGGGACTGGCGTTCTTGGGGCCGGTCTGTGCTCTTCTGGTCCTGCATTCCCCATTCCCAGAGAACAATATCGTGGGCTCCCCTCCACATGAATCTATCACACAAAGTGCTCACTTGAGAAGACAGAGTGGGGCATTGCAGAAGGCCCCATTACAAGAGGCTCCATGTTTCTCTTGTGTTTGTCTGTTTGCTAAGCACATTTTTACCCATTTGTCAGATTTTGGTCCAAGATTTGCTTTCATAGTTATATACTCCCTAATGTGAGGTGAAGGCTCGGGGCACAGAGTCCCATTTATCTTAGCTAAGAGTTGGTGATGGTGGTATTTATATAAGATCTCACATTTGTGGAACAACCAAACTTCTCAATAGCAAGGCTGTGAGAGGGAGGAAAATCAAGTTCTGATGACATTCGTTGAACCCTGAATTCAATTGTGGCACCTGGACTTTTTCAATTATGGAGGCAGTACATTGTTTTCTTGATTAGGCCACTTTTCTTGACATCTGTGGGAAAAAGAGACCTAACTAGCCAGCTTTTCCTTAACACTACACACTGCAATGCAGGACACTGAGGAAAAAAGCAGCACCTTAACCTGCAGGTTTCGTCATTCTTGCCAAAACAGAAATAAAACACGTACAAACTATTTAATTCACTCCTTTATTCTGGGATGTATATTACAGGTAACACAACTCACAAATATACCATCGGACATTGAAAGCTAAGGCCATTCTGTGAGTTATTTTTAAAACTTGGTGTTTTGCACATAATCTTAAAAAATGAATTACTAAAACCAAGTTTCTCTTCTGAAATAAAAATCTAATGTAGGTACAGGATAACTTTAGGGCTATATCTAATCTGAAGCTTATCAGGTAGCAAAACCATGGTGGCGCGTGCGTGTAATTCCAGCTACTCAGGAGGCTGAGGCAGGAGAATTGCCTGAACCCAGGAGGCGGAGGTTGCGGTGAGCTGAGATCACGCCATTGCACTCCAGCCTGGGTAACAAGAGCGAAACTCCGTCTCAAAAAAAAAAAAAAAAAAAAAACAGCTCCAAGGCAACCACTACCTCAGCATGAAGCTCACTCCTTCATATGTTAGTGTTTACCTGCTACAGTGTCCACTGTGTAGAGAACATTTCCCTCTCAGTAGCAAAAGACTTTCCCTAAGAAACACACTACATACTACAGAATCCTTGGAACAAGAAAAAGAAAGGGAGCTGTAACTAAGGCACTGAAAGCACATTATTTGTATAAAGAAATGTAAACAATTTAACACCAACAGGCTCCCTCCGTTGGAGTCTTTATAGAAAAAAGGACACAGGGGCATCATAGTCAGGGGTCTAGTTTGAAGTCCGGGTGAAACAAATGTTTCTGGAGAGTTCAGTCTTGGCTACCAATAAATGATTTCTAACACGGTGCTGTTGAATTAACTAGTTTCAAAGTGACTCAAGTGGAAGCTGTTATTTCCCTTGAATCTGAGTTTTAATAGCATATAACAAGGAAGGATTTTATAGGAGTCTTAAATTATGGGCTTTTTCTAACATTTATTTCAGTCTTTTACCAAGTTCTTCTAATGAATTTTAGCATTATTTTGGCTTGTTTCATGAAGGAAGTCTGGTGTAAGAACTTGTTACCTAATCAGTGCCCCTCCTTCTAAGTTCGTATTTCAAGTAGCATGGTTCCTGTCATAAATAAACTACACTCGCTTTAACACCGTTCAGAATGGTACATTTAGCAACTGGACATACAGCACTGTAAACATTTCAAAGTCCATTGAGCTTACCAAGAAAGGACTGAAACTACGAACACAGGAACTGTGTCTTGCTGCAGACAAGCAGCTGCTCTGGCTCTGGTGCGGTGAAGTGGGCAAGTGTGGAAGGGACAATTCCTGAGGCCAATTATTGAAGCTAAATTAATTTCTTCTTGACACATTAGCATTAATTCTAAGTAGTACCAAGTCCCAGACCATTAACTGTATAGTTCTTTAATTTTTTTTTAAATCAGAGAAGAAAAATGCTTTCACACAGATGAATGTATAGGAAAACACAAATAATGACATTTTTTAAGAGAGCCTTATTGCAAAAAAAAAAAAAAAGGACTTCATTATTTTTGGAATTACTATCTCTAATTCTTAAAAACCGGGTACAGTGTCTGTATCCCTAAGTTTAGTGCTTTAGCTGTACAGCACTAAATGCACTTTATGAATTTGGGGTAGGTAAAATCAAGCTTGTATTTTATCTTAAACATGTTTTCTATGATGAAAAGGAACAAAATTTTAAAAAACGAAGGTTTTTCCCTTCTAAAGGTTTCAGTTAAAGAGGACATGCAATTAAATGTTGTTACCTCGAACAAGGAGTCTCATGACTGTAGGAAGGGCAGACGGGCTCCATTACCAACGCTGGGGTAGAAAGCACAGCTCTCCTGTTTTACCCAGCACAAATGCAATCCTGGCTATTAAAATATTTGTGTTTCCAAATACAACCAAAGGAAATCTTAGAGAAACATAAATTAGAAAACTCTTTTATTAAAGGGAAATAACAAAAAAAGGTGTTTTTTGTTTTTGTTTTTGTTTTTTTTGTTTAAGAAGAAAACAAGCCTTAAAACCATGAAGTTAAATAGCTGGGTCTGGAGCAGATGTGCATAATAACTAATTAGTAGCTCCCAGAGGATTAGAAACAGCTTTAGAAAGGGAACAGCTGAATATGGATTGGTGTGTTTCAGAAGAGGCAGCAGTTAATACTCTTCCAATAAAAATGATGTGTTAACAGTGTTCAGCCTCAACCGGTGCTTTCTCAGAGAATCTGCTTGATAAGTTCAGGTCATGATGTGTTTACTTATCATGGCAATGCAGATGCGATTATTGAGAAGGCCTTCATACCTCACAGTATAAAGCAGTAAGTAGCTTCTGAGGCTGGTTCAATGCAGAAGTAAAACTGACAGTTTTGCTAAAAGCTTAAGACTGCTAATTGCCTATTTTCTGCAGCTCTGACCAGCATCCCTCTCACATGACAAAAAAAAAAAAAAAACCAAAGAGTGTAGAGCGCCAACAGAATGAAAATGACAACACTTTTCTTTTGCCTCAGAAGGACACTGGTGCTTGTTGGTGCGCTGGATTTTCCACTGAGTCCAAATGACAAGAATATTTGGGCAAACAATTGGTCACAAGTGGGTCGAGATACTACTATTGAAAGAGGAAGGCTAAAACTAAAGAGATCCCTTGCTATCATTAAGGATTAATTTTTGTGTTTTTACTTTGATTTTAAAAGTAATATTTGTCAAGGCTCCAAGGGGTTGAATAATTTAGGATAAACCATTACCACCCTGTCTGCAAGCCATCTGCTGTTTTAATGGTAGATGTTAGATACCCATGCACATGTAGAAAAAACAACCTTCCTTTTTTGGTAGGTTGTAAAGAAATATTTCAAAAGACAGTTTCTGACTGGAATAACAGAATGTTCTAAGTGTTCCTTTATAAAAGTATGTGACTTCATGTATACCATTTTTAACAGAAAAAGCTACACCTGCCAAAATGTAAGGAAACCAGCACTAAGCATGCAATACTGAATGTGAGAAAGGAACTTCAACCATATTACTTCCTATCTTTTAAAATTCAAACCAAGTTTCAAAGTGGAGAGCCTGTGGTTGCTCCCTGAGTCCAGGTTTTATCTTCCACGAGAGAAAAGGGCACAGCTGGTCTTCTGACATCTTGGTCAGCACATGATGTTATGAATAATGAAGGGCTTCCTGTCAAAATGCTTGATCAGTTTCATGACAAGGGAGTTCTCTGGTCTCTGATCTTAAGGATGAGATGGGTTTGTCTGGCGCAGGAAGAAGTGTGCCAAGGGATGGAGCCTGGGCACCACCTGCCTGGGTACCTGGAGGAACACTTGACCTCAGTGAGATAACCCGGGCAGTCCAATAACAGCATGTGATCTGGCCATTGTTCATGAGTTTCAGATCTGCCTCTGGTATGGGGAGTCTGTTAGGATTGGGCCTTTAAGAAAAATATGTGTGTTCCTTGTCTGCTAAAAGCCTGAAGATTGTTTAATAATATTCTAGCCCAAGTTATTTCACCCTGATTACCCCGTGCTATGTACACAGTATCGAAATTACATTCAGAGATTTAAGAAAAATTGTAGCAATATTTTCCCCACAAAACTCAGTGCAAAATATCTTTAACAAATAATGATGGCAGTAAGAAATATTCGACATAGTCATGCAAAAATGCATCTGAGCTTACAAAGGTTTAGAACATTTCCAAAATATGCCCTAGGTTTTTACATGGTAAACCTTATAATCTTACTCATTTTTCTTTAAATTTAAATGTGGCTGTTTGTGTAAAAATCGGTAACATGCAAGTTCTATGATCTCCAGTCCACCAAATATTCTCTCCTGCAGCACGAAGATTATGATAGTAACTATAAAATACCACCGAACAAGACTGTACAAATATATGAGCAGGCACATTGCAAGGCTGAACAGGGTCCAATACAGTATAGACAGCAACTTGACCACAAGGACCCTGAGTTCAGACTTGCAAGGTGGAATGAGACTCTGTCTGGTAAAACAAAAATTCTTCTCCCCTTGATAGAAGGAACGCAGCCTCTCTTCTTTCTCTTCCCACCGCTTGTGGCACCAGAGTTGAAGGTCCTCCTTGGATGTGGGGAGGGTGTCTATTGGATACCGGCGGACGTGAAAGTGGATTTCCGTGGGAAAGTCTCCTTGGAGGAGGTGCTTCTCTGACTGAGGAATGTTGTGAGGATACGCCACAGTGATATCATGGATAGCATCAAGGTTCTTACCTAGGTTTTGAAAAGATAAAAACATAGACTAAGCAGGGATCAATTTGGGTGAGAATGCTGATTCACACTGCAGGGCAGCACCAGAAACCGAGAAATCAGGACAACGTGAACCACAATGAACAAGCAAGGGTCAGAGATACTGGTGTTCCTGGGCACCTGGGTCAATATTTACCAGTCATCTTTAGTTTTATTTCCTGCTTGTTAATTACCACAAAAATCTTTAGAAAGAAAATATCTTGATTTGCAGAAACAGTAATCTGCCATTCTAAAATTACTAAGCACATTAACTCAAACTTGAGATGGGAATTAAACATTACAGGACTAGCTCCTTAAATATCAACAGAATTCACAGTTTTGATATATCCTATTAATATAGCCATCTCTCCAAATAAAAACAGATTTTCTCACCTTTAACCCAATGTTACCACGATAACTACTGAAAAGAAAAACTTACAATTAAACTTAGGTGGTGAGAAACATGTGAAAACTTCCATATATGTTTTTGTTTTTAAGAACATCAACTTGAGCCAGGCACGGGGCACACGCCTATAGCCCAGGTACTCGGGAGGCTGAGATGGGGGAATCACTTTTGCCCAGCAGTTCAGCCTGGGCAATACAGTGAGACCTAGTCTTAAAAAACAAATAGATAAATAAACTTGAACTCCAAGTAAGACCCTGATCCTGTATCCTTTCATCCTGAATTTAACTTTGGGGGTAAGTGTTTTTAGCAGTCAGTCAGATTGCTAGGTGCTGCAGACAGTCAAGAAAGACGTGGTTCCAAACCTCACTCAAGATGTTCTCAACATAACCGGGGAGACAGGCGCACACATAAAGGCCTAAATAGACTTTATAGGAACACATGAGGGGTCAGTAAAGGAGAGGAACGAGGTGGGGTAGTGGCAGAGTGAATGTCCCCGCAGAAAAGCACAGTGGGGATGGGAGCACTAAAGTAGGCAGGAACCAGGTGGTCCAAAGCCTTCATGTTCTTCAGAATTTAAACTTAATTCTGTAGGTGGCAGAGAAACATCTTAATTAGTGGAAAACCACTTAAGGGTTTCAGACAGAAGGGACCCATATATTTCATTTCCGCAAAGATTACTCTTTGGGGGCAGTGACCCGAATGGTTTGGAGGATCAGGGGCAAAAGGGATAGAGCAGTTTGATGGCTACTGCAATACAGCAGGCAAGACATGGAGAGGACGTAGGGGCCAAAAAAGATGTGTGACACGATACTGTACAGTGGTGAACTGGATGTGGGAGAATGAAGAGGAGGGAGCAGGGAGGAATGAATCTAGGTCTGTTTTTGGCTCAGGGAACCAAGTAGAGGGTGGGGACATAGAGATTAGAAATGCAGGTCGAGTGTTGGATCTGTAAGGGACCCTGGGGGTCATTTAATCCAACTCTGTATATGAGGCCGAGAAGTTTGGTATCTTGCCCAAGGGCGTACAGCTTATTGGTTCAAAGTCTCTGAATGTTACTTTCTTCCATACTTCTGATGAGGACTTTGATTACTTACTGAATCATATGAAGGAGACAAAACAAATCTGTGCTGATAAGATATCAGAACAGTCATTGCCTGTGGGGTGGGAAATGAGAAGGGGCATAAGGAAATTTTTGGGGCGACATTCTAGATTCAGGTGTGGATTACATGATGCTTACATATGTCAGAATAACCAGATTGTACATTCACATTTCACTCTTTAAATTTTACCTCAATAGCAGTAATAAAGATATGAAGCAACTCTCCCACCTTATGCCACATTTAACCTTTCCACTGAACAGATTAGGTTGTATTCACTTTTTAAAAACAAATTCTTCAAGTTTTCTGCAAATGTTTGTCAGTCTCCACTACTCTGTGATTTACTTTAGGGTAAGAACCAGGCTTCAATTTGATTTCATCACTGAATTATAAAATAATCACTTAATGAGAGCTACTTTATAAATGGAAATGCTACATCAACAGGCTTAGACTCAAAGTTGAAAGGACAGTCCTTCAGGAGTCAGAAGTGCTGTGTATTGTTCATAGTGGGGAGAGGAAGTGTAAATGAAAGGCTCCTTGAAGAAAGCTTCAGTGGAGATGAATCTGAAGACAGACTAGGCCAGACCCGCTTGGTTCTAGAGAGAATTGGGCCAGTAGTTAGAAGCCCATGGGAAAAGCTTTGTGACTGAGCTATCAAGAGGTGACGGATTTACCATTTGAGGAAAGGCTGGCTGACCCTGTACCTTGTATGCCATAGTGGGAATTTACATGCTGAAAGGTGGGCTGTCTGATCAAGCATCCAAAAAAGAAGATCCTATTCTATTGCTGACAAACTGAGTATGATACATTCCTGAAGATATTAATATGTCTCATCTTTAACTCACTTGCATTAAAAAAAAATCAATCTTTTGTTTATCTTCATAAGCGATGAAACTCATCCTTGACTAGACAGTACAAGCCAGTTTAATATGTAGAGCACTCTCCATCTGCAGGCCTCAGAGGCCATTCATTTCTGTCCGCCAACCACAACCATAATCCTTGTTTTAGTTGCCTTATCTCAATGCCACTCACCCTTTTCTTTTTCTCACTTAGAGGCAAATAAGATGTCTTTACCTCCTGTAACCTGTCTGCCAATTAGCCAGATTCAGAACTATGTTCACATTTCATGTCCTTTCAAAACTCCTCTGCATGATTAGAAGAAATACTTCTGCTTCTACCTCCTGCCCAAAGACTTCTCTCCTCAGTCAGAATTACAGGTCTTTCACCAATATCACCTTTTGCAACAGCCTTGACCAATTTCCTTTCCCCATGTAGCTCCTTCTATCTTTCTACTCAGTCATTCTACACAATTGTCACATTCAGTATTAAAATCTTAGGAAAAGCTCATTCACATGTCCTAGCTTTTCTCATACAGGTGGTTCCTAATGCTTACAGATCAAATACAGTCATCTGTTTTTACAAATTGGTATCAAAATTGTGAGAAGAATGCTCCTCTTTCTTCCTTCCTCTTGACAATCTATAGTGTGTGTGTGTGTGTGTGTGTGTGTGTGTCGCATGTGTGTCTGGGATTATAAAGTTCAGTACAGAAATAGCAAGTTTGATGGCACCACTGACAGAAATTTTCTTTGATGAAAGATTCTAGATTTATGACAGAACTGAGTGTGGAGGGCTGTGAAGGGCTGTGGATGCAGACTGCCTGGGTTCAGATCCTGGCTCTGCCTCTTGCTGAGTTACTCAATCTCTCTGTGGCTTACTTAGTTCCTGTATCTATAAATGACCTGGGAAGGCTGTTGTGAAGCTTAAATAAGGTATGTAAAAATGTACAAAACAGGATCTGATACATAAAAATTCTCAATAAAGGCTGTTTACTAGGCTGTACCCTTTTTCACTAACTTTAGCTCCTAGAGTCCACTGACACCAACACAGTAGGGGGAAATTACATTTCAATACTGTCTCCACACCACTGTCCACAGCACTGTTCACCTAGGCCTTGAGAATGCCAATTAGAAACCTCCTAACTTTTCTACTCAACACAAATACTGAAACAAACGTTTCACAAAATTGCCAAAAATATTCCTTCTGCTTCAAATATTTAGCCTTTTTTCCTGAAGTATCTCATCTCAACTCCCTTCGATGTCTAGTTCAAATGCTAAGGGTTCTAAGAAGAAGCTTGTTCAAGTACCAAGGCCCAAAGTGGCCTCCCCGCTTTGAATGCTTAAAGCACATGCACTGATAACCTCATCTGGGTACTTGGTTGCTATCCTGTGTCCTTACTAGATGCTCAAGTACCTTAAGGGCAAAGACCATGTCTTTGATTTTTTTGAGATCTAGCATCTAGCATAATGCCCTCCATTTAAAAAGGCTCCAGAAATGAGTAGGTGACCAATATTTATATGGTTGGCTATCTTCTCATCTAAAAATATAGAAGATAATTAAAATGCTCTCTCCATTGAGTTGTGTTAACAATTTGGTAAGCTAATGTACAGTGAGCTCTTTGCACTGTACTTGGCACACAGTAAGTTCCTGGATGTTAGCACCTATTACAATTTCTATGACTTGTTCCATGGTATGATTTTTTCAACCTGGGTTCTATTAAATCTTGGTGCTGAAAGAATTATAACAATCTCATGGTGAAGGGGGAAAGGGTTTGCCTGTGAGAAAACATTTTAAATGGTCCATTTTAAGGCATGATAAATCTAAGTACTGGCATCCAGCCTATGAACGTTAACAAACCACATGGCTCATGCACCTAGAGGGTCACAATAAGCGAACAGAAAGTAAAGGAGGGGTTAGCCTATAAAAGGAAGAAAGTTTCATTACTGGGAAATTGAAACTTAAGTGGTCCAGGGTATAACCTTATAAGGGGGATAATGAAACTTAGGCGATGTCAAGACTGTAACCCCATAGTACTCAACCACTGAGGAACTGAGGGAGGGACTTGTGTGCTTGGAGATAAATTATCAGCTATAGCTACTCTGGGTGTACCTGTCCACCAGACACCCGATCTTACAAGACCGCTATTAAAAGTCTCACTTTCGCTGTTCTTCATGCCTCTAAGTCCATTCTTTGGGTTTGGATGGGTGAGCGTGTTTCTCACAGACCCATTTGACACTCGAAAATATTTTAAAGGTGTTAGTAACCACAAAAATTTATAAAAATCTGATAACTTAGCTAGTGGCAAGAAAATTTAAACACATTTTGTAAATACTGAGATCTTATGATGCACAGTCTCACATCAAGATTCCATAAAAATAAATATTATTCTTTTTTAAAAAAGTTTAGATAACCTGTGGATAAAAGATAAAATCAAAAGGAAAATTATGAATTATCTAAAAAGGAATGAAAAAGAATCATAGGATACAGAGAAGACTGTATTAAAAAGAAAAATTTATGACCTTACATGCCTCATTACTAAAGAGAAAAACTGTAAAAGAGAAACTACTCATATTGAAAATTAGAGGGAGAAAAACAGAATACAAATGGAGAGAAAAGAAAATTACTAAAGATAAAAAGCAGTACTT